AAAGGCCAGAGGCAGCTAACCACTGCCACCTACTGGCCACTTTTTGTAAGAATACTTGTTAAGATCTGTGTGCGGTGCGGTTGCTTTTGCCGGCAATCCTAGCATTGACAAGGCTGAGGCAGGACGATCGCCCGGCACTTTTATGAACATATTTCTAGCTCAGTTTTGTGGCTGCACTCCCCCACCTCAGCTGTACAAGTACTTGTCGTGATGTACCTGGACCACTAAAACTATTTCCTGAAATTTTTTCCTTTTTTTTTAATTACACTTATTGGCCAGATATCGGTGCATATCTTTACTCCCAGCACTAGGGAGGCAGAGGCAGGTGGATCTCTGTGAATTGGAGGCCAGCCTGGTCTACAGAGCGAGTTCCAGGACAGCCAGGGCTACATAGAGAAAACCTACCTCCAGCCACTGGTTAAAAGACAAAGGATGTCCAAAAATGGCCAGAGATCTGCAGGTGCAGAAGTGGGCAGGGGTGGGGAATGTGGGGGGGAGCTATATAAACAACCCACAGAGAGTTGGCCTCGCTGTGGAGCAGCAAATGCTTGTGGGGCCCACACAAATATTCATTCGCTGGGATGCTGGACCTGTTTCTGCGTGGCACAGTCTGTCTTGGTCCTGGAGTCGGGGGCTGGGGAGACGCTCTATGTTAGCCAATGTTGTTTTAATATTGTTGACAATCTGGTAAAGTTCCTTTTTGTGATAATTTCTGTTTAAGCGATTTCACCTTTCGTTTTGAAATTCTTCCCTTTTATGAGGAAAATGTGACACTGTGAAAAATGCATGTAAGAAAACCCCATCTCTCCTCTTTCCCTTTTCCTTTAAATGACCAATCTAGGTGATTAGGGTTGCAAATTTTTATTTTCGCTTTGTTTTTAATGAGCATTTGTCTTTCAGAATAGGATTGTGTGATAATGTTTAAATGGCAAAAACAAAACATGATTTTGTGCAATTAACAAAGCTACTGCAAGAAAAAAGAAATACAACTTTTATTGTAAGGAGAAAGAAAGAAAAGAAAAGAAAAGAAAAGAAAGAAAGAAAGAAAGAAAGAAAGAAAGAAAGAAGGAAGGAAAGAAAGAAAATAGTTGGCTTCTCATGACCTAATGCTGTTTGACTACTGCCTTTCCCCAGCGTCCTGGCCCACTACCATTCTCATGAGTGCCTTTCTTTTTTGGGGGGTGGGTGGGTTTCGGGACAGGGTTTCTCTGTAGCTTTGGAGCCTGTCCAGGAACTCTCTCTGTAGACCATGCTGGCTTGGAACTCAGAGACCCACCTGACTCTGCCTCCTGAGTATTGGGATTAAAGGTGTGCACCACCACTGCCGGGTGTGTCTTTCTTTCTTAATAAATGGTCTCTCTTTCTACTGTTCTCCATGTGACTCTGGCTAAATTATTTGCTCTGCCATCAAAGAACCTGGCTATCCCAACAGGTGCTCTGCAGACCCGAATCCACACCTGCAAACACTTGAGCATCCTCAAACCAGATGCTAAATTGATCCAAACTAATTTGGGACACACTTTGTCCACGAGGTGTGTACACCGGTGCCCTGGGCAGCCAGAAAAGGACATAGGATGCCTGGAGCTGGCGTTAATGATGGTTGCAAGCTGTGTGACGTGAGTACTGGGAACCTAACTCGGAACTTTGGAAAGGGCAATAATTGAACTCCCTCTCCAGACTTGTATAATTTTTTATTGTGTGTGTGTGTGTGTGTATGTGTGTGTGTGCCTATGTGGAGGTCAGACGACAGTTTTCAGGAGTCAGTTCTTGCTGTCTCCCACGTGGATCCCAGGGACTGAACTCACATTGCCAGCTGGGTGGCAGGTGCCTTTCCCTGCTGGGCTATCTCACTACTCATCTTACTTTTGACTGGTCTCGTGTAGCTGAGGCTGTTCTGGAACTTCCTATGTAGCCAAGGATGACCTTGAATTTTTGACCCTCCTGCCTTCTGAGTGCTGGGATTAGGGGCACATGCTACCAAGTTGCCCCAGGTTTATGTGGTATTGGGGATGGAAGCCAGGGCTCCCTGCATGCTTAGACGAGCACCATGAGAAATGAGCCCCCAGCCCTGGTTCCTTCTTTTCAACTTGCTGAGTTTCACAGGAAAACTATCTCGCTTGAATTTCCCCTTACCCGGTGTCTCCAAACCACAAATTCCTCATTCCCACTCTGGTTTACTCTAATAAGAAGTAGGCTGATCTCTTAATCCCTGTTTAAAAGGCCGGTGTTTATTGATGCTGTAAAATCCTAAGGGATCCTAAATCTGTTTTTAGCCGAGCCCAGTGCATAAGACAAGTGTGGAACTCGGAATGGGGACAGCAGGGTCACAGTGTTTGGAGCATTCGCTGTCTGTCCCCCTGGTGTTTTCCACTGAAACCGTTCCCTTGAGTACTGGGGGTGGTAGCTCAGTTGGCAAAGTTCTTGTGTTACAGGCACAAGGATCTAAGTTGATTCCTTGAATCCACATGAAACACACACATACCACCAATACCACCACCACCACCACCACCACCACCACCACCACCACCACCACCAACAACAACAACAACAACAGCAACAAGAAGACAAAGCAAATGTTGTGGTTCCTGCTTGTGATCCATGCAGCAGAAGAGGGGGGCATCCCTAGGGGTTTCTGGCATTTGTAATGAGCTCAGGACCAAAGAGAGACCCTGTCTCAAAAAACGTAAGGTAGGGGTCGAGGACTGGAGAGATGGCTCAGCAGTTACCAGAGGACCCAAATTTGGTGGTTCCCATGTGGGGTGGCTCACAGCCGTCTCTAGCTCCAGGGGATCTGACATGTCTTCTGGCTTCTTCAGGCACTTCTCCCCCCCCCCTCTCTCTCGTGTGCGTGCACACACACACTGGGCAGTCTCTTGAGCATATAGGAGACCTCAAAGCCCACTTCCACAGTGACACACTTGCTCCAACAAGACCACACCTATTCCAACAAGACCACACCTCCTAATAGTGCGACCACCACACATAGCCATAAACTCTGGGTTTCAGGGGACCCTACCTTGATGGATAAGATGCAAGATCAATAAGAGAATGATTACTGACATCAGCTTCAAGTCTCCATGTGCATGGGTGCAGTCATGCACACAAACATACACATGGCCACTTGGGAAGCTGGGGAATCTGTGGGTCATGGACCTCAGATCTCCACATGCACGGGTGCATGCTTGTGCACACACACACACACACACACACTGTCATACACACACAGTCACACACACAGCCACATACCTGCAAGCAGACTTCTTTTTACTGTGGGAGGCTGGGGTTCTGTGGGTCATGGGCATACAGGTGTGTATGCCCGTAATCTTAGCATTTATAGGCTGAGTCAGGATCGCTGGGAGTTCAGGGCTAGCCTAGACTTCTTAGTGAAACTCTGTTTTTGTTTGTTTAAGAATCCCACTGGTGCTGGGCGGTGGTGGCGCACACCTTTAATCCCAGCACTCAGGAGGCAGAGGCAGGCAGATCTCTGTGAGCTCGAGGCCAACCTGTTCTACAGAGGCCAACCTGTTCTACAAGAGCTAGTTCCAAGACAGGTTCTAAAACTACAGTGAAACCCCGTCTCGAAAAACAAAACAAAAACAAAAATAAAGAGAGAAAAAAAGAATCCCACTGGTGAGATAGTCCAGTGGGTAGATTGCTACTAAGCCTGACCACCCTAGTCAGATCCCTGGGTCCCGCGCGGTAGAACACAGATTCCTATTTGCTTTCTGACCTCCACAGGTGCGGCATGGGCACAACCACACACATGCGGCATGGGCACACCCACACACGTGCACACGGGTACATACAAATGCATGCATTAAACAAAAGGCAAGCATAGTGGCCCTTTCCTAGAATCCTAACTCTTGGGAAGAAGAGGCAAGAGGACCAGGGATTCAAGGGACTCGGTTACATAATGAGTATGATGCTGTCTTTAGTTAATTAAAGCATCGCTCAGTCAGTACGAGTGAGACCCGTTCTAGTGTGGAGATAGATGGATAGCATCACCAAACTGTTTAATGCTTAACGGTGCCATTCGTTTTGTTAGTGGAGAACGTGCAACTTTTGTTTTTGTTTTTGCTTTTCGCTGAGGAGCACATGTGGATGCCCTTGGCTGAAATCAGCGCAGGACGAGAGGGGTAGATCTGTGGGGCTTTCTACCAACAGGTAAAGTGGGGATGAAGTCTGGAAAGCTCTGGAGAGGTCACAGTCCAGTACTTGGAGACCCGGGTCAGCATTCCTCCGGAATGGGCAGACATTGGATGTGCCGGAAGGAGGACCACACTGACGTGGAGTTTCCCCACGTGCCCGGTGAGAACTGTGCAGCCAAGCTTCCCACAATAGATCTGCCGGTCCATGCCTCGGAAACTCATTTGAGGAACGCGAGGTGGCGCCGGCCGGAGCCCTGCTCTTATAGCTCAAGTACACTCAGCTGTCGAGGGCCCGGGAGGCGGTGCTTCAAAGTAGGGTGGAGTCTGCGAGGGCTGGTCCGGGACAGCCAGGTCCCGCCCCATGAAGATGACGGACAAGCCTTGCAACCAATCATGATGCTTTTGTGATGCTAAAGGAGATGAGAAGGTGGAGCGACGGATGTAGGGTGGCAACTAGTGAGGGAAGATTCGGTCTTGCCAGGTCCAGCCCCGTTGCGATGACAGACAGTTCTGCAGACTAATCACAGTGTATCTACAGCTTTCAGGGGCCCGGGAGGTGATGCACCAGGTAGGGAGCGGAGCCTTGGAGGGCAGGTTGGGACAGCCGCCCACCAGGTCCCGCCCACTAATGATAATAGACAAACTTTTAAACCAATCATAACGTGCTAACCGCCCTGAGGCGGGCCAGCCGGGAGAAGTGAGCGGAGCGCCTCCCAAGTGGGAGGAGGCGTGTGGAGGGAAAGCCTCTTGGAGAGATGGGGTGGGTCCTGAGGGAGATGGACAGCTCTATCGACCAATGGAAGATGAAAGCTGTCCCCGTTAGCGCCGGATCCCCGCGGGTAGGGCGGGGCGGGAGGCGCCGCGGGGATCCCGGGGCTGCCGAGGGCCCCTGACTCTGTTCGCCCTGGGAACATGGACCGAATGGCCAGCTCCATGAAGCAGGTACCCAACCCGCTGCCCAAAGTATTGAGCCGGCGTGGGATTAGTGCTGGGATGGAGGCTGCGGAGCGCGAGAGCTTCGAGCGGACTCAGGTGAGGCTCGAGAACCCTGGGGCATACCTGGGGCACCCGGAGTGGTGCAGAGTGCTGGAGAAGCTTAGAAGGGAGTGAGGGTCTTGCAGGCCCGGGAGGGGATTAGGTAAGGTGGCCGCAGTCAGAATCTTCTGGGGGTGCAGAACTAGGCGGGTCCCAGGGAGGTCAGGGACCTGGGGCATCCCTACTGGCCTGGGGACCAGGGTGCACTCCGCGGATCTGCAGATCCCTGAGGCTGAGCGGACGGGACCCGGTGAGCATCATCACGGGTCACAAGGGAGGCCAAAGGGAGACGCGTGGAAAGGGGGCTGATGGAAGGAGTGCCCCTGGGTAAGGGACTTGGCAGACACTTGGGATTTGCAACTGTGGGGACGCCGGTCTGGGAGTGTGAAAGGTACTCTGGGTCGCTTTATGTTCCTATGGACTTCTCCCTCCACGCCTCAGCATCCCGTTCAATGGTGCCTCAAACTTGGCTCTGAGCAGCCCCAGCTGTTGGCCTCAGAGGCCGGGCCGAAGGGGTCTGATGAGAAGGAATGTAGGAAATGCGAAGTGTGGCTCAACTTGGAAAATGACCCGGGGGACTGGAGGAATGGGGCGGCGTGCAGTCCGGGACAGGAATTGAGGCGCTTGAACTGTCAGACCCTGGCGTGTCGGGGATAAGCTGTCCAGTGAGACCCAGAATCCTGATTTGAGGTTTTGTTTTCGCCCTCCAAAATATGCCTGACCGCTAATAAGCAGACCGCCTTATTTGTCTGGTTTGACCAGGGCAGATGGCCAAAATTCCACCGTGGTTATCAACAAAACCACTAGACGCTTTTACCTCGAGCTTTTTTATGCTTGCTGTATCGATTGGACTGAATCAAGCTGGGAGGCGCGAGGTATAGCCGGTTCATCTGTATGTAAAATCCATTTCCGAGAATACAACCCTTAGGATCCCGCTGCCGAAGTTGTGCGGGTAGACAGATTCCCTTGTGCTTCTCTGGCTCTCGGAGTTCTACTTTAAAGGTCCAGTTGACTTCTGCCAAAGGCTGGTCCCCTGTCGTGTTCTGCGAGTAGGAAAGATCGAAGAGATAGGGAGGGCCTGTGTGTGCTATACATGGATTGTGCAAGAAAGAAAGCCAGTGTAGCCCAGGGGACTTCAGTCCACCTCTCGTTTCTGAGACCCTTGGATCCACTACGTGTGTCTGAGGGAAGGGAAGTAGGGTAGTTGAGGGGAAAGAGAAGCGGCCATTCACTTGCCTCTCGGGGTTCAACGGGGTTTGGAGTTTTTCCCTCAGATCTTCTGAACTGACCCCCTTTTTTAAAAAAAGAAAAGAAAGAAAAAGAAAATTTGCTTTTAGCCTTGGGTGTTCCTGCAAAAAAAAAAAAAAGTTTTCATATTCCCCCCCACCTCCTTTTTTTTTTTAATGAAAGAAGAAAAGAAACTGGAGCTATTTTATACCATCCGTTCCTTTGAGAACCTCAGATAACTCAAAACTGGAGCAATAAGTAGATGTAGGGTTTGAGCTTAGGACTTGGGGATCTGGCTCGGGGGTAAAGGCTCCTGCCGGCTAGTCTAGCCACCTGAGTTTCATCCCAGGAAGAGAACCAACCTGACCTCCACGCTCCTGGTGTACCATGAACATCCCCTGCGCGCACACACACACATACATCTAAAATTCATTCGAATTCTTTAAAAAGTTTGAACATAACGTGATAGAAATGTCGGCCTTTGAATGTTTCCAGCCACGACTAACATTTTCCCTAGCTCTCCAGGGAACACCCAACCTGGGGAGTGGTAGGCCAGTGTCTCATTTTGCCTTCTGTAGAACACTTGTAGTTAGCCAGATTTTATGTGTGTTTGTGTGTGCCCATGGCGGGTCACACGAGCGTGTGTGTGTTGAGGCAGACTACAGCAAGAGTTGTTGAAACTTTTTTTTTTTTTTTGAATCAGGATCTTACTATGTAGCTCTGGCTGGCCTAGAACTTTCGTCAGCCTCCCTGCCTTTGCTTCCCTAGAGCTGGGATTACAGGAGTGAGCTCCCACAATCCAACTCAGTTGTTGAAACTCTTCTGAGCTGGCAGACAGGGTGAGACACTCAGGAGGCAGAAGCAAGAGGATCCTTGCAAGGCTGAACCAGTGTGGTCTAAATAGCAGCTTCCAAGCTAACTGTGGCTATATATAGCGAGACCCTATCTCAAAAAGAATTTCAATAACGCAAAACCAAAAACATTGATTGGTATCTTAAGGGACCAAAGACCAAGAGAATTGGCAAAGGTATTATAATAATAATTGTAGCTAATTATTATGTTTGGAGGGCCTCTAAATACAGTTCTTTATTTGCTATCTTTAATCTTCACAAGGGCTGCTGGTGTGGTTAGCACCCCATTTGCTCAGAGGAAATTGAAGCCTGCTGAGGTTAAATAGCTTGCTGGGTACCACAGGTGGAAGTGGTCCCAACCTTTAACCACTGCCTTGTCCTGGGCAGATCCGGAAGACATCTGAGTTCTGTTCATTTCTTTTTGTTTTGAGACAGGGTCTCTTGGAGTTCAGCTGGTCTCAGGCTAGCGATGAAGACATGGGTGATCTTGAATTCCTGATCTTCCTGCCTCCACCTCCGAGTGCTGGGGTTGCAGGAGTGCCCCACCATGGCTGGTTTTATGCAGTGCCAGGGAATGGAACCTAGAGCTTCAGGCATGCTAGGCAAGCCCTTTCTACCAACTGAGCCACATCCCCGCCCCTAGGAGACGGTTCAGTTTTGTGGCCAAGCATAGGGTGATTTGATGTATGGGACTGTGTGCCCTCAGGCAAGCAGTCTAATTTTCCTAATCCTCAATTCCCTACCTGGAAAATAAAGATAATGCAGGGCTGGGGAGAGGGCTCAGTGAGTATGCTTGGTGTACAAGCATGAGGACCTGAGTTCAAATCCTCAGAACCCACATCCAAACAAAGCAAAACAGGGCAGTGCCTGTTTTAGCCAAATCAGTGAGATTCAAGTTCAGTGAACTGTCTCAAAAATAAATTAAATAAATAAATAAATAAGGTAGCAGGCAATAGATGAAAACACCCAATGTAGACCTCTGACCTCTACATGTGCGCACACACAGGAACATGCATCAGCACACATAAGTATACAATGCACATACACAAAATAAACATAAGCTTTAACCTTGCAGGTTTATGGTGTGGGATGCATTAAATAACAAGCATGATGGTATTTTGTAAATTATGGGGCACTGTCGCAGGAGCAGCCACTTCCAGGAAATCTGTCCTCCGTAACCATCAGCACTGTTTCAGAATGCCGCACGGCCACTGTCCCTTCTAGTGGCCCAGCCAGTGCTGTACCCCATTGTCACCAACTGTCCATTCAGCTCAGCACAAGTGTTGGTCAGATGTTAGGGACAAGAATAGGAGTTTATTTTTTGACCTTTTAAATTTTAACTTAACTTTTACTTACTGAATCAATTCTGTATTTACTAGGACTCAGTGTTCAAGAGGGAGGAAGCCTGGGAAGATGGCTCCGTGATATCTACACAAGTGTGAGGACCCGAGTTCGGATCCCCAGAACCCATATAAAGCTGGGAATGCTAACACACATCTGTAGCCCCAGTGTTCTTTACAGCAATATGAGGGTGGGGACAGGAGACTCCCTGGACACTCACAGGCCAAGGAGCTTGGAGTATGTCGTGACACACAACGAGGAATTGTGTCTCGAGTACGCTGGAAATTGACTGGCACCTGAGGTCATTTTTATGTCCTCCACATGTGTAGCATGTACACACACACACACACACACACACACACACACACACACACACGTTGTACAGCCAGGCTGGCCTCGAGTTTGTAGTTTTTATACCTCAGCCTCCCAAGTAACTGGGTTAATGGGCTTCACACCCTGATACTCTGGTATTGTTCTTCCTTCCTTCCTTCCTTCCTGAGGTAGGCTCTTATATAGCCCGGGACAGTCTCGCTTGTGCCCAAGGATGACCTTAGACTCCTGATCCGCCTGCCTCCCTCCTGTGCTAGCCTCTAGGTGTGCTCTAGTCCACTTGGCTTTAGTGTTACTTTTGTGAACGAGAATGCAAACTATGTATAATTATCATGAAATAGGTAATTAAAATTTTTTAATTAAAATCATTTATTTGTGTGTGCACGCGGGCATGCACATGAGGAGAGAGGAGGCCATCAGGCGGTCTCTCACAGAGCCCAGAGCCATGCTACAAGCTCTAGCCTCCTGTCTCTGTCAACCACCTCCAGCACTGGGCTTACAGTGGGTGTGGCCATACCCAACGTTGTTTTAAACGTGGGTCCTTTGGGATTTGAACTCAGGTCCTTCTACTTGTGCAGGAAGTGTTCTTACCCACTGAGCTGTCTCCCCAGACCTGTGCTTTTTAGAAGAAATTATTCTACGTAGGATCCGAAAAGCAGTTCTTCCCTTCCCCAAAGCTACTGTGCACTGAGGAGGACTCAGCTCCCCAGAAAGCTACAAGTGCAAGGATGTGGTTTGGTCACGACACTGAGAAGGGGGCAGAACTGCAGTGATGATACCTAGTTTGGGGAGCGCTTTACAGTTTATAATGAGTGATAATGAATGACGTCAGCCTTCAGAGAGCGTGACAGCTTGTTTTGCTCAGCCAGTGCTGATGTGTGAATGAAAGATTGAGCCCAGATTTCAGGCTCCCTGGGTCAGGCCCAGCACACCGCGATGCCCTCCACGCGGATATTTCTGGAAGGAGTCGGGGGTTACCAATCAGATGAAGGAAATAGCTTTACCTGAATTTTTATTTGCCTTTACTTATTTATTTTGTGTGTCTGGGTATGTATAGGTGTGGGGGGTATTGCCCGTGGAGGTCAGAGGACAACTGGCAGGAGTTGGTTCTGGCCTCCCACCGTGGGTCCTGGGCTTCGAACTCAGGTTGTCAAGTTCATCAGCAGGTTCCCCCCAGTTCTAGTTCATGAGACAGGGTCATCCTATATAGATCTTTGAATACATGATCCTCCAGCCTCAGCCACCCTG